AAATCACATCCACCGGTATCGCTTGGGTCAAATATACTCTGAGCGCTGTTTACTGTGAAAGCACGAACAGTGGAAGGGTTATTTGCCACTTGTTTTTAATCACATGATAAACAAACAAATTCGCAAACTTTCAGACATCTCCAGTGATTTCATTTGAACAAATTTCCATCCGCAGCAGTTTCTCACAATAAAAACGCTCAAGTTCTTTGCAGCTTAACTCTATTTCTCTCATCCCATGCGGCCGGTGCGCACCGCACGTCTGACCTCTAATAACCCCAGACCTAATGATCAGAGCGCCGCTCAACCAGGGACAGAAAAAAGGATAAACCTCCAGCCTTTTTTAATCATCCTTTTACCTGCAAATGAAAAACGTTAAAAGTGATTAAATGAATCAGGAATGAACAAAGTAGAAGAAATGTTACTTCTGTTTTTACAATTTTCACTTCAGTTCAAATTATTTGTAAATTTGTGTTTTCATCACATTTAGCTTGGATTTTACTTAAATATCTTAATCTTTATTCATTTTTGTGTTGCTTTGTCTGAAGAATGAATAATAACACAACATAAAAACTACTTGAAAGGTTTTGTATTTTTTTAAATAAAGTTTGAACGTTAAATGTTCTTCAATCATTTTTAGAAGTTTTTGTTCTGCTGAAATTCATCTGGTATGCGAGAATGTATAAAAAAACATTCATTTAGACATACAGTGGGGCAAAAAAGTATTTAGTCAGCCACCGATTGTGCAAGTTCTCCCACTTAAAATGATGACAGAGGTCAGTGATTTACATCATAGGTACACTTCAACTGTGAGAGACAGAATGTGAAAAAAAAATCCATGAATTCACATGGCAGGATTTTTAAAGAATTTATTTGTCAATCAGGGTGGAAAATAAGTATTTGGTCAATAACAAAAATTCATCTCAGTACTTTGTAACATAACCTTTGTTGGCAATAACAGAGGTCAAACGATTACTATAGGTCTTTACCAGGTTTGCACACACAGTAGCTGGTATTTTGGCCCGTTCCTCCATGCAGATCTTCTCAAGAGCAGTGATGTTTTGGGGCTGTCGCCGAGCAACACGGACTTTCAACTCCCTCCACAGATTTTCTATGGGGTTGAGGTCTGGAGACTGGCTAGGCCACTCCAGGACTTTCAAATGCTTCTTACGGAGCCACTCCTTTGTTGCCCGGGCGGTGTGTTTGGGATCATTGTCCGGTTGGAAGACCCAGCCACGTTTCATCTTCAAAGCTTTCACTGATGGAAGGAGGTTTTGGCTCAGAATCTCATGATACATGGCCCCATTCATTCTGTCCTTAACACGGATCAGTCGTCCTGTCCCCTTAGCAGAAAAACAGCCCCAAAGCATGATGTTCCCACCCCCATGCTTCACAGTAGGTATGGTGTTCTTGGGATGCAACTCAGTATTCTTCTTCCTCCAAACACGACGAGTTGAGTTTATACCAAAAAGTTCTAGTTTGGTTTCATCTGACCACATGACATTCTCCCAATCCTCTGCTGTATCATCCATGTGCTCTCTGGCAAACTTCAGACGGGCCTGGACATGCTCTGGCTTCAGCAGCGGAACACGTCTGGCACTGCAGGATTTGATTCCCTGCCGTTGTAGTGTGTTACTGATGGTGACCTTTGTTACTGTGGTCCCAGCTCTCTTCAGGTCATTCACCAGGTCCCCCCGTGTGGTTCTGGGATTCTTGCTCACCGTTCTCATGATCATTTTGACCCCACGGGATGAGTTCTTGCATGGAGCCCCAGATCAAGGGAGATTATCAGTGGTCTTGTATGTCTTCCATTTTCTGATAATTGCTCCCACAGTTGATTTTTTCACACCAAGTTGCTTGCCTATTGTAGATTCACTCTTCCCAGTCTGGTGCAGGTCTACAGTTCTTTTCCTGGTGTCCTTCGAAAGCTCTTTGGTCTTGGCTATAGTGGAGTTTGGAGTTTGACTGTTTGAGGCTTTGGACAGGTGTCTTTTATACAGATAATGATTTAAAACAGGTGCCATTAATACAGGTAACGAGTGGAGGACAGAAAAGCTTCTTAAAGAAGACATTACAGGTCTGTGAGAGCCAGAGATTTTCCTTGTTTGAAGTGACCAAATACTTATTTTCCACCCTGATTTACAAATAAATTCTTTAAAAATCCTGCCATGTGAATTCATGGATTTTTTTTCACATTCTGTCTCTCACAGGTGAAGTGTACCTATGATGTAAATTACTGACCTCTGTCATCATTTTAAGTGGGAGAACTTGCACAATCGGTGGCTGACTAAATACTTTTTTGCCCCACTGTAAACATTGTAGGGCTGCTCGATTATGGCAAAAATGATAATCACGATTATTGTGACTGAAATTGAGATCTCAATTAGACAATTTTTCAATTAATGTTGATTTTATTTGTTTATTTATTTAGTCATAAAATTGTTCAGGGCACAATCAGGGCAAAAAGAAAGCAACAAGATAATCAAAAAACAACTCCTGATTCCCAGTATAAAAAGGCCGACACACTTGCTCATAGTTACTCATTAGTAACTAAATTATTTTTTTAATAATCAGTTGTACGTTTGGGGAATCATGTGTTTGACTAAGGGGTACTCATGGTACGAGAAAACGGCTCAGGGGATCCACTGGGGACAACGATGACTCTTCTATGTTAAATGTATTTATGATAATAGTTTTTGCCCTCTTTACTAACCTTGATGACTTTCTCCACACCAGAGGAGCAGATCATGTAGGTGTGAGGGTTAAAGCGAACCTGGTTGACTATGGAGCGGTGGCCCTTCAGAACCATGAAAGCTCCATTCACCACTCGACCAGGGCCTCCTTTAAAGGAAGGGTTTGTTAATGTGATGCTGACACGAAACAAACAAGAAACACTAATAATGTTAATAATAATGTTAATGACACAGCTAAAGCAAAAATAAAACTTAATAAGAATAAGTTATTTTTAGTCATGAGGGACTGGTCTGATTTCACACTGGCCAGGAAGAAAACTCTACAAAGGCATCATATAAAAACACACGTATCCCACTCATGGACTCCAACAATAGCTTAGCTTAAATAAGAACAGCAATCAAACCCTTCTGCTGCGTCATGCAGGACCCCTAATGCTTCACATTCAGACATATAAGCAGGCCTGCAGGCAATCTGACTAACTCACCTGCTTCTGGGTCGTTTGGGATCTTCCACATGTAAAGGTTGAAGTCATCCGATCCAGACAGGATGTACTGAGGAGGAAAACAAATGCACACTTAAATTAAACTTCACCAAAATGGAGAAAAGATCTGCTGTGGGTTGGAAATCCAACACAAACTAGCAGATGTTATCGGTGTTCTGAGTCTATAAATGACACAAGGGTCTGACCCTGGCTGAGCTCCTGGTCTGATTTAGGACTTATGAACAGATGGTTTCACTTAAAGCTCTGTGCTGGGGTGGAGAGTGCTCTGTTCTCGCAGACGTTGGGGTTTAGGGTGTCTTAAACTAACAAGCACAGAAGAAATGGTTTTTAATTTCCATGTGTAAAGCTCCTGCTGATCTACGCACCTCTCTCTCCACTGCTCCACTTTTCTTTTTTATCACCTGACCACACTGCTGTATTTCTAACAGTTAAAGAGACTTTTTGTGTTAAAGTTCTAAAACTGAAATATTCCTCCTCCTGTAGCTAACTGAGTTCAGCGTAGCTCCTTGTGGACTCCACCAAGAAGGAATGTTCTCTCCCCGTTTTCCTTCCATTAGCTTAGCGCGGCCAGTGGCTGCCTCCAACACCACCATGTGAAAATCCTCTGCTGTCTGTGGAGTTACTGATAAACAGATGCACTTCTTGTGCTGAGATGCTAAAATGTATCACTGTTTTGTTGTCTGGCCAAGCCTCAAACGCTCATAAAGAGTGTAAAGCTAGTAAAACTTAAAACTAGACGTGATTTTGCATCTTTGCTGCTGAAAACAGTAAGATAGGGTTTAGTCTCAGTGTGGTTTTGTACAAATTACAGAGCAGCCATACCAACAATCTTCGTCAAGTTTCCTGTCCCTATTTTGGGCCAGGCATCATCAATATGCTCCAAATCTCCATCGCATCGTTTGACATCCAGACTGAATGCATATTACAAAGATGGATGGATGGATGGATGTTTATTTGGCAGACACTTTTATCCAAAGCAACTTACAATTTATAACCTATAGGGCATGTTGTGATCTGTGGGGGAAACAGGAGTACCCGGAGGAAACCCACGCATGCATGGGGAGAACACGCAACTCCACGCAGAAAGACCACAGCTGAGTTTCGAACCTGCAACCTTCGTGCTGCAAGGCAACAGTGCTAACCACTGCGCCACCATGCAGCCCCTGGATGGATGGATGAATTATTTAATGAATGAATGAACGAACGAAGAGAAGAATGCATGCAAGGATGGATGGATAGGTGAGGGGTGGATAGATGGTTTAGGTTGCAGCATTTGACATACCATAAACCAAACACAGAAGAAACCACTTCCTGTTGTTGTTTATCCAGTGAAAACAACCAGAATCCTCAGTTTTGATGATAATAATAATAATATTTATACTTTCTGCACCTGAATGATGACAAAACTGAGGTCATAGTTTTCTCTCCGGGTATGGCAGATAATGTCAGCACTGATGTTGATCTTGAACCTAACCCCGGCTTTCCACAGGAGCCGTCAGCAGCACGTTACTGCAGCAGCACGTCATAGCTGCTGATGGGAACCGCTGTGGTCAACAGAACCTTTTCCACTGGAGCCGTCAGCAGCGCGGGTCGGCCGCGTCTCAGGAGCAGCATGTCGCGGCCTTTACGCGCCGGTTCTATTTTCTACGCGCGACGCCTCTGAAACGGGTCAAGTTCGACATTTTTGGGGAAGGAAAGACAGGAAATCGGACGTGGAAATTGAGAGAAGCTTCCGGGATTTTCAGAAGCTAGCGGTCTCCTTTGTTTTTCAGGTCCGTATTGGCGATTATAAAACGGACAGAACATAAAACACAAACCATGTTGTAATTTTCTCCTGCTTGTTGTTGTGTTTACTGTGACTTCGTGCTCGGTCGGTGACAGCGGCTCCCCTGCTGCTTCGCGTCTCGTGGGAAGGGCCAAGCAGCAGCTTACGCGAGCAAGACGTGCTGCTGCAGTAACGTGCTGCTGACGGCTCCCGTGGAAACCCGGGGTGAGGCTGCTAGTGAGAAGAGCACCGTTACCAATTTAGGTGTGAAAATCGATTCTGGTCTCAAGTTTGACACGCATATTAATTACGTTGTGCGGTCATGCTTTTTTAACCTACGTCGCTCAGCTAGAGTTAAACCCCTGCTATCTAGAGTTCACCTGGAATCTGTCACTCATGCTTTGGTCCTATCCAGAAGGGACTAATGTAATGTGCTGTATGCCGGCCTAAGTCAGGGTGAGGTGGCACGACTACATTTAGTCCAAAATTCGTCTTCTAGTTTCTTGACAGGCATAAGACGTAGGAAGCATGTTACTTCTGTGCTGATGTCTCTGCACTGGCTCCCCGTTCACTTCAGGGTGAAATTTATGGTGCAAACTCGGGGGTACACAGCACAGTGCGGTTCATGACCTGGATTACTCCAGAAATGTTTCACTTTTCCTCATCACTGCAGCTTTATTCTGGAAATAATATTTTGACCTTATTTTGAAACTTAGGTGAAAAAAAACGTCATAAGTCACAACCATCAATAAATTGTTTAATAATGTGGGTTGCTCTTTTAATTAATTAAAGATTTCTCATCACTGGGTCAATGAATCGTATCCAGCAGATTCTAACCAACAACCTGTCCCTACAGCCTTGGCATGACTCAGCAGAACCTCCTCTATCACTAGTGATGTGAATAATCATTCTTTAGAAGCCCTCATGAACAGGGCTGACACCCTGAATGCGGTTAACATAATAAATGTTACTTTGAGGTGATGTCACATCTAACAGCAGGGGCCCATCCTTTTATTTTTAGCTACCATAAAGACATTTAGAACATTTTTCCACCAGGTTATTTTGCGCATCTGCTAACTGCATCAGGACCTGAATCCCACTCCGTGGGTCATTTATTACAGCGGGTCTCACTGGCTTCAAAGTTGAAATGGAAAAGTTTACTCAACCTGTAAAGCAGTTCATGCACCAAGATTCTGACCTACCTGATCTTTGTCCCCGGCAAAGCAGCAGCTCTTCATGGTGCACGAGTTGAAGTAGCCCTGGTTGTCAAACTGGAAGCTGGGCAGGCGGGAGTGCAGCTCGTAGAGCACGGGCGGCAGACGGCGCCGGAGAGCCAGCAGCTGAGTTCCTGTGCTGTTGAAGCGAACGCTCATGGCGCTCTGCAAAGACATGCTGCCTCCATAACGGAGCAGCGAGCTGAGGGAACAGGAAGAGAGAGCAGATAACGTACGAGCCAAATGTCCCAAAGTAACGCAACCGAAAAGAAGATTGTCTCATCGGTTCTAAAGGTGATGAACAGCAGGTTTTACAGTTTATCCAGCAAACAAACTTGTTATTAAAAGAATGCTCTTCCACTTTGTTTTTAAAGAAAACTAAAGTATTTTACATCCAGCTTCTAGCATTAAGGGATTTTATTAAATAAACTTAACAGAAGGATCTGGATTGATTTAATTGAAAAAAATCACCCATCAGTACAGATGAAAGCTCATTTAAATAACCACGATGGTTAATCTAATTACTTTATGAAATCCCTCTCAGCTGGGAGCTACTTCTAAAGTTGACTAGAGATCTTTTTGTAGAGCCCAACAGGAACCCTTGTTTATTTTTATCTGTCATTTTATTTACCCAAGTTCATCTTCTCTTATTTTATTCAGTAGTGTGATAATTTTGCAGCCTATAGTTGTGGAGCTGCTCCTAGTTTGTTTGTTGGGAATGTAACTGTTACATCTGGTGGACGCTGGGAGAATAGAGTTAGTCCAAACTTCTGAGTCTGATACAAATAAAAGGGGCAATTATTGGGAAGACATTTGTGATATTTCTGAACTAATTTAAACAAAATCAATGTATCTGACATTTATGTACATCTGACTGGTAAAAATAAAAACATCTACTGGTAAAGCACACACAAAAAAAAACCCTAATAAATAAACTGTAGTACCTGCGTGGCTTACGGATGTCCCACAATCCAACGCCCTCTTTAGAGTTGGCTGTGGCGAGCAGCCGAGGCTCCACGGGGTTAAACATCACACTGTGGAAGGCTGATGGGTAGCTAGCCAGGCAGAACGGCTCTACAGAGAGAACAGAACAGATGCACGACCTCTCGTTACACTGACCAGCCACCTTATCAGGTACACCTGGTCAGCTGCTTGCTAAAGCAACACTAAAGGGGTTTTAACACTTTAAGCTATAGCTTTCAAACTGGTTTCAGTGATTCTTGAGAAAGAAACGTGATCAGATTAACACTGGACAGCACTCTGCTCCCCTCTGCTGACCAGAAACTGAACTTACCACTTCTGTGGTTCAGGCAGGAACACTAGCGGGGGCGGGGGGTGCTACCTGCTTTATGGCAACAGATGTTCACTGTGCCGGTCGCTAACACAAAGGCTAGCAGTTAGCTTTTCCAGTTCACTTACCGTCAGTAAAAAAACACAAAAGAACCATTTAGCTTTTTTTGCTGGCATCATGGCAGAGCCTGGAATTTAAAATTAGAAAGCAATGTCTTTGGAGGCGAAGCATAGACCTAGAACCAGAGAACATCGGCAAGGCCTACACTCGTCAGTGGAAGCTAAAGGAGGCTATGAAATCACAAACTGATGATGATCTGGCTTTGTTGCTCCTTGACTTGTAAGTAATTTTTATTGTCCTAACAGTGTGGATCATTTAAATTTGTAGCTTATTTGGTATTAGTTAGCTCTTTTTTAGCATTAGCTTGTTGTTAGCACTAGCTATAGGAGGCTGCAGCACGGCTGTGTACAACAGTTGTAATTCTACTTTCAACCGTAGGAAGGAGAAGTGGGAAACTTATTTAGTGTTGCTTTAACACAAAACTAAAGAGCCACTCAGACGGCATCATCCCAACACATTGGCCCAATCCTGTTGCTTGCACTTCCACACTTGCATCCTTCAGTTGTGCAATCCTGGCCAAAGGTGCGAGTGCATAGGGTGTCCTGATTCTCAAGTACGGAAGTTGACCACATTCCTTTTGCACCCTTGATCCGCACGTCACCCAAGTCCGCATTGTTGCAGACTTGGGTGAACGGCATTACCCACAATCCATTGCTGCAGAAGAAAAGGCTCAAGTGCGGTACAGACCAAAAGTTTGGACACACCTTCTCATTCAATGTGTTTTCTTTATTTTCATGACCATGACCATTTACAAAGAGGCCAACAAGTGCTTAACACCTCTAAGAACTCCTTCAAGACTGTTGGAAAACCATTTCAGGTGACTACCTCTTCAAGCTCATCAAGAGTATGCAAAGCAGTAATCTGAGCAAATTGTAGTTATTTGGAAGAAAATAAAATATAAAACATGTTTTCAGCTATTTTACCTTTTTTCGTTAAGTACATAACTCCACATTTGTTCATTCATAGTTTTGATGCCTTCAGTGAGAATCTCCCAATCTCCCAATGGCCATGAAAATAAAGAAAACACATTGAATGAGAAGGTGTGTCCAAACTTTTGACCTGCCCTGTGTATTTTTTCAACTGAAAGTAGCTCATTTTAGGACGATTAGTTGATGCTCTGAATCTTTAAAAAACAGCAACAACGAATGTAATTTTTTTTCAAATAACACTTTGGTTGTTTGAAATTTGATAAAGTATTTTTAAAAAGTAGCACCGTGACCAGCATCCTGGCATGCGTTGCGGTCGGTGACGCAATGCCCCCTGTCCCAATACGGCAATTATTAGCACACTTGTATACCACGCACTTGTAACCTTACTGTTGTAACGGAACGGAATGACTCTTATTTTTCCCTTCTTTGCTCAGAACATTACACTGTTTACTTCCTCCAAGTGCACTTCATAGAAGACCATAGGGCACAGTGTGAGTACTGGGATTCATTATCTAGGCATGGTGAAAATTACCTGCTGAGGTTCAAACTGAGCAGCAGAGTTAAGAATAGATGTTAGATATGGTGAATTAATGATGCTGTTGGCGCCAGATGGCAGGTCTGATCTTCGCAGTTTAAACCCGCAACCATCTCTACATGCAACAGAACGTATATGGAACCTCACACACTTTATATGTGGCTCCACCATCTGAAAATTTGGACACAATCACTTATTTGCGACTTTTATTCCTTTAAAACTGGGACCTGACAGGCAAACATGACAGCCAGCTGTTAAATATATCATCATGACGACTTGGAACAAAAAGAGAGCTTCCAAAAATAGAAAGATCCGGATGTCAGGTAAGATGATCCACAGCATTTTTAGTTCAACCATCAACAAGTTGATTTTACTATTAGTTTCTCATAAATCCCTGTGAGACAGCAGAGGAGCTGCTTTTGAAATCACTCTGTTGGAGCGTAATCAACGGTGGTTTAGTCAGTTTTATACACTGGTACATGAAGTTTCACCAAACACCAGAACATTCAAGATGATTTTTAAAAATTTGGAATATTTTCCATTTGTTTTTTGGACCTTTAAATCAACACAAATAACTGACTTCTTCATAGTAACCATTGCAGAGACATGCTGTTAAAATTCATTTAAAAAAAAGTCCATTTTGGATTTTAAGGATTGAAAACCTGAATTATTATAGACCCCATCTGTTCTCACCTCCGTGTGACGGCTCGCGGGTGTCCCAGATGAGAACGCGACCATCATCGGAGGAGCTGGCAAACACGTTGTCGTTGACCGGGCTGACGGAGAGACTGTACACAGCGTCGATATGCAGGAACACATTCAGAGTTTCCCGTCTGCAGGAGCAAAAACCATCCAATACACCAGTTTAACCAATGTCAGAGAAGTACCCAGAGGTGTCCGTGTTGCTTTTACTCACCTTTCTACATCATGAAGAATCACTTGTTCATCATTTCCTGTAAAGGAAATACAAATGCTAATTTTATGAACTAGATAACTTTGGGGATTTCTATTAAAGATGACTTGATCAGCCTTAAGTGACTTATAAGTGGTCAGACTGTGGCAGTACTATTGCGCAATCGTGTCCTTTTATAAAAGATTACATGGTGGTAGGGCTGCAACAAACGATTATTTGGATAATCGATTAATCGGATGGGGTCTCGACACGATTAATCGATTAATCGGATTACATGGGGAAATTTTTAAAAACTGCTAGGGAAATGTTATTTCTCTCCTTCCTTCACTTTATTTAACACAACATTATTAGAAAACAGTTCAATAGCAGAAAAACAACATGCCATCACCTAAATTGTCTTATAAGGTGTATAGACAGAGACCCTAAGCTACATCTATCTGTGACCTAAAATGCTTGGTCCAAGTTAAACAGCTTAAGGGCAATTCTCATCTGTTTTGTTTGATCTCATCTGTTAACATTTATTTTAAATGTAATTAAACATAGGCTGTGAATTAATCAAAATTGATCACTATTTCCAAAACTGACTGAAAAAATACCAAATAAAACAAAAGTAAATGAATGCCATCCTCCTTGCAATGATGCCCTGGGCAACTGCCATAAAGTCACATCAAGAAATGCTGCTGATCATTCCAATGATCCCAAATAGACTCACATTAGGCCACATGAAAGCAACTGAACCCAAAAATATATTAACCAGTATATAACTGCACTCTCACACAACACGCCTGCAGCAACAGTTAGGACTCCTCCCTCCCTTTTAAAAGCGTTTTTGCTTCTGAGGACATTGTGGTTGTAAAACCACATGCTAGTAGTCTGGCCCCGGTGTGATCAACCAGTTTCTGCGGGAATGTGACGGCGGAACCAGGGCCAGATTAACACTTTGTTGTACCCTGGGCAACAATATTCAAGGGCTCCATCATCACGACCCAAGGATCACCATAATGTGGTCACATACAGAATATTTTACTGTGATATGCAGTAAATATACTCAATACTTGAATGCCTGACAACACGTAACCCGCCCAGAGTAACCTTTGACCCACCTCGTGTGGACTGACCAATGAGGAGAGGGTCTTAACTTGAGGCCCTCTCTTCATTGGTCAGTCTGCATGAGACTGACTCTCAACTGACATTCAGTCGTAGGCAGCGAAGCGTCTCTGTGCAGCGCAAAAGCCCGGGTGGACAGTTTGTTTAATGTAGGGTGACCATATTTCCATTTCCAAACAAGAGGACAAGGGATCTGTGCCTATGACGTCACACTATGGCAACGCCACACAAACCATGTTGGGACCCATTTTTTGTAAGAACTAAATTAATATCAGATTCTGCCAATTAAAGGGCTCTAAAACAATTCATATGTAAATATTTTGCATATTTAATGCAAAATCTAATTTTTCTGCTTTAGTGGTGCAACAAGGTTTTATTAATAATAAATTATTATACCTTTTGTTTTACTACAGCATCGGTAAGCTTCCTGTGCACAGATTATTAAGGATGCTTGTTTCAGCTGTGAGATTAGACGATAGGATCAATGAAAAAATAAGTTGTCACACACTCCATGGAAACTTTCAGAGAATCCACAAATAGTGGCTTTCAAATGGTTTTGTTACTTTTTACAAGTTTATAAAAGAAGCAGATGAGACAGCATGTCTGATAATTTAGTTTTTCATCTGATAATATTAGAACATGTCAGTAATGTCTGAGGGGCTTTTATAAACACCATATAACTAACACTACTGGAGAGGGCATGAATTACACAGAGGCTTCTGGGGAGCCCAGTTATGGGGGGGACATTTTGCCTTGGCCCCCAAAATGTCTTGAAACGGCCCTGGGTGTGTGACTGAGTTTTGAAGGTGATCTGAATTGTATCAGATGTATAAATATGACGTGTATAACTTATTGTTTTTTACTGGTAAAAACGTGTAGTGGAGATAAATCTACCTACATTTTACTTTGTTTTCTTGTTTTTATTTAACTATTTTCCTGTCCTGTCTGTCTCTCATCTTCCTGCATCTCCTCTTACTTCTCCAGAAAATCTGTTGCCTGGATTCTTACCTTTTCACCTCATCAGTTACTTTTGAGCAGATCAAAGGGATCTCCTGACCGAAAAGCGCAGAGCGCGTTTTCGATGCTGCGTGAGGTGACATCACCACAGCACAGGTGATGAGCTCCGCAGTAGGGAGCTTCAGGCACAAATAAGACAGAAAATAGAGAATATGTGCGGACTTGAACGATCGTGTGCTAATTATAGTTTTTTGGTTGCGCCACTTTGAGAATGGACCATGCGCTGGAAGCAGCTGCCTGGATCGCTGCGCGACAATGCGGAACCGGTTCGCAGCAGCGCAAGTCTGCCGTTGTGCGCTGATCTGCGGCTCTCCCTCGCGCTGATCTGCGGCTCTCCCTCGCGCTGATCTGCGGCTCTCCCTCGCGCTGATCTGCGGCTCTCCCTCGCGCTGATCTGCGGCTCTCCCTCGCGCTGATCTGCCGGCTCTCACTCGCGCTGATCTGCCGGTACCGGCTCTCCCTCACGCTGATCTGCGGCTCTCCCTCGCGCTGATCTGCCGGCTCTCACTCGCGCTGATCTGCCGGTACCGGCTCTCCCTCACGCTGATCTGCGGCTCTCCCTCGCGCTGATCTGCCGGCTCTCCCTCGCGCTGATCCGACTTGCTCTGGTCTGCGCGCAACGGCTGGAAGGAAGGGGGGGGGGGGGGGGCGCTTTTGGAAGAGTTGTGCGACACAACGAATCGATGACGCAATTCGTTGCCAACGCTTTTAGTAATCGATTTTCATCGAATTTATCGATTCGTTGTTGCAGCCCTACATGGTGGTGGCATAAAGGTGTAGGTGGCCGTCTTCCGTTTATCTTGGACATAACTTGGTTTTTATTGTGATTAAAGCTGCGATAGTTAAGTTTTTTAAACAAGCCGCCCCTTAAGTTGTCCATCCCCCACAGTCCCCGTGCAGTCTCTGGTGATCTGAGCTCTGGCTCTAATGGACAGAAGCTCATGGAGGTCTGCATCGCTTCAGTTTATCATCTCAGACGCTTCCGTTTACCAGAGTGAAAGTTTTTGCCCGTGTTTTCGTTCATTTTCAATATACCATATTTTTCGGACTATAAGTCACACTTTTTTTTTCATAGTCTGGCTGGTCCTGCGATTTATATACTAAAGTGTCCTATATATCAAATTATGTATACCACGCTGCTGCGGACTGGCTCCGGACCAGGAATAAGCTCCTCTGCCCCGCCATCACCAGCTGGAGACCGTGGCGCACTGCTGTGGGCCGGCTCCAGTCCAGGTATCAGCTCCTCTGCCCCGCCATCACCTACTGGAGCCTGTGGCGAGCTGCTGCGGGCCGGGCGGCTCCGACCCAGGAATGACCTACCCTGTCCCGCTGGGAGGGTTTCAATTGAATTCAATTCAATTCAAAAATACTTGAGGGAAATTGATTGCTGTAGTAGCTCAGAATAATAATAATAATCAAGTCATCAAAGAGTTATTGCATATTACAATGGCTGCTGGCAGGAAGGATCTCCAGTAGCGGTCAGTGTTGCAGCGAAACTGAAGAAGCCTCTGACTGAAGACACTCTTCCGTTGTCGGACAGTCTTGTGAAGAGAATGCTCAGGGTTGTCCATAATTTTCTTGATTCTCTGGAGAATCCTTCTTTGCACTATCTACTCCAGTGGTTCCACAGTCGTCCCCAGAACAGAACCAGCCTTTTTTATTAGGCTGTTGAGCCTTTTCAGGTCCCTGCTTCTGATGCTGCTACCCCAACAGACGATGGCTGAAGAGATTACACTCTCAACAACAGACTTGTAGAAGATCTGCAGCATCTTGCTACCGACAATGAAGGACCTAAGCGTCCTCAAGAAGTGCAGTCTGCTGTGTCCCTTCTTGTAAACGGCTTCGCTGTTCTTTCTCCAGTCCAGTCTGTTGTCCAGGTGAACTCCAAGGTATTTGTATTCCTCAACCACCTCCACTTCTTCTCCCATGATTGAAAGTGTTTGACTCCACCCTGTTTCTTCTGAAGTCTAAAATCATCTCCTTTGTTTTGTTCACATTCAAGGTCAGATGATTGTTTCCACACCATGCCACAAAGCGCTCCACCAGCTCTCTGTACTCAGCTTCCTGTCCATCTCTGATACACCTGACAACTGCAGAGTCATCTGAGTATTTGTGTAGATGACAGGTCTCTGATTTGTACTGGAAGTCTGAGGTGTACAGGGTGAAAAGGAATGGTGAGAGTACAGTCCCCTGTGGTGCTCCAGTGTTACTGATTGCCTGGTTTGATGTGCAGTTCTTCAGCCTCACAAACTGTGGTCTGTTTGTCAGGTAGTCTTTAATCCAGGCGATAGTTGAGGCCCTCACCTGTGTCTTCTGGAGTTTCTGGCAAAGTAAATCAGGCTGAAATGTGTTAAATGCACTGGAGAAATCAAAGAACATGGCCCTGACAGTGCTGCCTGCTTTATCCAGATGACAGTGGATTGGTTGAAGCAGCTGGATGATGGCATCTTCAACTCCAACTCCATGGCGATAAGCAAACTGCAGCAGGTCCTGATATGTCCTAGTTTGCTTATTCAGGTGGACCAACAGGAGTCTCTCCATGACCTTCATGATGTGGGATGTCAGAGCAACCGGTCTGTAGTCGTCGTTGACTGATGGGAGAGTTTTTTTTTGGAACTGGAACAAGGCAGGATGTCTTCCACAGGACTGGAACCTTCTCCTGGGCCAGGCTGAGGTTGAAGAGGTGCTGCAGAATCCCACAGAGCTGCTCTGCACAGACCTTCAGTACTCTGGGGCTGACACCATCTGGACCTGCAGCGTTGTTCCTGTTCAGTCTCTCCAGCTGCCTCTTCACCTGACTTCTAGAGACAGATAGGTGGGAGGTAAATGGGGCAGCAGCATCTCCTGACTTGATTGAAGACAGATTTATAACACCAAAAGAGTCAATGACTGTGTTAGAGGACAAAAGAGCTGGCG